GTCTTCTAGGAAAGTCACTGTTTCTAAAGGCACTGTGAATAACACCATCCCTCCCAACAGAAAACTATTAAGTACCCAGCAATTTCCTACACAGGCTAACTCAGGTACGTACATGGAAGCTCTGCGTCAATGCAAAGGCTAGACAAACATATGACATTATGGTATCTTTTCTCATGTGTCTGCATATAGAGAATTAACTCAAACAATTATTGAAAGTCAAATCCTAATTCAAAAGACAATTTGAGAAATAAAGACGTGCCGCCTAAAATAGGTATACCCAAGACAACCCCAAATTCAGAAAATCTGGAGTTTGGCTAAGGAACATTTTTGCAGTCCTTAAGAAGTAAACCTTATCACTATTAAAACTTTTGAAAGTCTCCTCTACTTATAAAGGTAACATGCCTATTGTACAAACTACGTAAGTAAATCACAACTACCCTTGAATCTAAAAAATATTCTATACTATGAGCAACAATCAACAAATCTGCAAATACCTTTTCAAGGTAGCTATCAAAGGAAAGTCTTGTGTTTCGAATATAAGTGTTGTCTAAGCTTGTCCCTTGAGGCATAAGGCAAATCACATATGTGAAAAACACAAACGTTTCTTTGGTATTGGTTCTACTTAGATCAAAACGGCTTTTTTCTTACAAAATTACCTCAAAGAACGGAAAAAGTTAAGCATAATAGATTTTTCCCTAGCTGTTAGCTCAACTGAATGCTTATCATATTTACAACACAAGCTATAGAATCCTTAAACATTTTTCTTTATGATTATTATAGTTGTGTTCTGTCGAGTCAATTGCGACTCATAGTGGCCCCACATGACAGAGTAGAACTGCTCCACAGGATTTCCTAGGCTGAAATCTTTACAGGAGCAGATTGTCACATCTTTTCTCCCTTGGAGCTGTTGGTGGGATTGAATCTCCACCCCTTCCGGTTAGCAGCCGAGCGCTTTAACCATTGTACTACCAGGGTTCCTTTTTATTTCTTCCGTTCTACCCTCAGTTTTGTAGAATACTAACAAACAAACAAACCATAATCATAAGGACTTTCTAACAGTTCCAATTCTTCTACGTGGGGTGGGGGTGGGGTGGGGGTTAGTGATGCTTTTTAATATTACTCAAAGCAGAAAAAGGGGGCTGCTTTATTTTTCTTTGGAACAAGTTCCTGCCAGATTCTGCACATTGTGGTTCTTTGGCGATGTGATGAGAACACATATCCACCCACAGACACTAATTTTGCTCTTCACCCTTCCCAAGTAGCCTTTATGACACATGCTGTCTGCCCTCCATTTAATGGAATTCAAGAGGCCCAGTCAAACAGCAGGGCCCCAGAGGCCAGAGCAAAGGCAGGCGACCCGTCTCTGCCGCTCTATGGGTACAAAGAACATCTGTTTAAACGAAAACCACAAAAAAAGCCAAGCCCAGCCTGGACATCTCCAATCTGGAAACCTTGACAACTGCATGAGTTAACACTGAAAACTAAAAGCCACCTTTTGGTTGAAACCTGGAAAGAGATAATATCTTATTGCAGTTCCTTGCACGCCCAGCAGCCCTCACTCCCTGAGCTGCTCTCAGAACGTGTGACAAGGAAGGTGCCACTGTCATCCAAGCCAAGAGCTCTTTCGAAGAGGGCTGAAGTGCCAGCCCGGTGATCATTAGTCATGAAGAAACAGTGACTAAGACTCCAACTGGGAAGGCACATGGCTTCCATAAGTGTCCTGTGCACACCCCAAGATAACCTGGGCATAAATGTCAATGCAAACAAGCTGTCAGCAAACTGATACCTAATAAAAGCCCGTGCTGGTTTGATAAGAGTTGTCATTCACCCCCATCTAACTGGGACCTGTGCCCTAAAAAGGCTTTTCTGTACTTCTCCCTGGCTTTTCTGAGCTATACAGGAAAGTAGCTATTTCCAGACAATGAAACAAGATTCATCTACAAGTGTTATTAAGCAGAGTGACCATAAACCCCGGATGTGGGGAGGACAACCTAATAGCAGAACAGTGGGCAATGGACCACAGGCAGCAGACAGCTCAAGCCCTCCCCCTAGGGGCTATAGTTAACGTCAGGGATCCATAAACCATCTATCTATCCGCACACCAAGAACAGACTGTAGACTCAACAAACAGGTCTCTCTAAATATAATTTAGTATTTTTAAACGTTGATAGATGATCTGTAATGGTTTTAAATAAACCAGTTTTTATTAAATGGTTACTTAATTAATAATAACTGTGACTCATTAGAAACTTTATTTTAACAGACGCTACAAGGCAAGAGGTCTTTACACCAGCAAAGATTGGGAAAAACTGGCCTCGACTTTCACTACTCTGTCCCTGGACTCTCTAAATCTTTGAGGAGTCAAAGATGCTCCCTCTCTGACTGCCACTCCCTCAAGAAGCAGAGAAAAAAAAAATCTTTGTCCAAGGTTTTGTCACTCTTCTTGGCTCAGAAAACATGGCCACCAAAACTATCAAATGAATTTTTGAGTCGGGCATTTCCTTCTTGATTTCCATCCAAGAAGAGTTAGATTCTGAAGAACCAAAAGGCAATGGCTAAAAGTTGCTTATACACACAGCAATTAGTGGCTCGGGATTATAGACTCCAGTCAATCTAGGAATAAAACAAAACCCAGAGAGGAATCTATCGCCAATGACCACGAATCCCCACTGGAGAGGGAATTAAAGGAGGACAGGGCTGAGCCCAGATCTCATTTTTTTTTTTTTTTTTAATTTAACACGACCCAGCACACTTCTCTGAACATAGGCAGTGCCTTACTCAATATCAATCGATCGCTACCAGGTTGAATGATACAAGATCTTTGGTATTGGCTGCGGTTCTGTATTCTTTTTCCCTCAAAAGAAAGAAGGAATCTAAAAAACCACTCGGTCGCTCTGGACCAATGGCTGGTACAGCTTAACAGCAAAGTGGCCTCCGAGGATCAGCAGCCACGACTTGAGGAGTGATTATCATTGCCTAGTCTCAGTGATCAATATGCCTGGAGTGTGTAATGTAACCAAAGCTAAAAGAAATCGACCCTGCCCTGAAATAATCCGGGCAGAATCTGAGTTAGTCTGAACCACACAAATCACGGGAAAACAAGACATTTTCACTGAAAACACCAATAAATCAAGAACTTAAAAAAGAAATTTTTTTGTACACCTGCCTGTAATCCTTTTCTGTAGGCCTCAAGGAAAAATGATATAACTGAACCTAATGTTTCACTGAAATCAGAGAAAACTAGCTATTCTGCTTTCAAGATAAAACAAAATTAATTCACATTATTTTCCTGATGACTCGTGACAAAATGAACCCTGAGATGAGTGTGGCAGCCACCGAGGCTGTGTGCGAGAACCACATTCACTGTAAGATCACAAAAGAAGGGCTTTGGTTAAGCCAACATTTTTAGTAGCTTTTCTTCCACAACTTTCAAAAAACTGCTAATGAGAGGAATAAAAAGGGCCCTCACTGAGAATCTGAAGCATTTTTTAATATCACCAAATGCTATAATTAAATATGTACTATAAAATATTAAAAATATACACACACACGCATAAAAATAAGCACTACAGATGTGGGCAGGAAAATTCTTAGCAAAACCCCCACATATTTCAAATACTGTTCTTCCTCATTATTGCCCTTGACCAGAATTAGCATGTTACACCATAACAGGTGGCTTTCATTTATAGAATGCAAAATTAATGAAATTTGGAGATGGTCCTGTCTCCAAAAACAAATCAGCCACTCTAAAAAAAGTGCACCCCCAATCTACAAAACAAACAGAAACACACGAAATAAACTCCTTTCATGCTGACTTTCCACATTATCTGAATTTCTAAATTCACTGAGATAAATAAATTGAATGCATTTACCGACAGCTTAAAATTCACATGCCTCAAGGAAAACAAGACAACATTATGAATGGGGGGAAAAACGAAGCCTGCCTAGTTTTCCAGCTTAGTAACCCAAGATCCGTTTCATGCTCTCTGAGTGATAACAAGATTTACCATCGCAGACTGCACTGCTCCACAAATGCTCAATCTTAGGGAAATTCGGGAGCAGTTGTGTTATTGGTCCTGACCCAGCCATTCTGGGCAGGCAAACCAGGAAAGCATAAATAGTGCCGCTATAAACTAACTATAGCATCTGTCCCTACCAAGTAAGACTCAAAGTATTTTTAAAAAATACGAGGAGACACTGAATAGACTGTCAACACACATAGGAATGTTTAATATACTCAAATAAACAAGATATGTGCCTTCACTAGCCAGGCATTGCTTAAATTTAGTGAGTGAAGAGAGAGAGAGAAGGTCAGACAGGCAGCCCCAGCCTTCCAGTTATGCAGAACGATCCCTCAGATCATGTGAGAGTTAAAATTAAACATTGCTTCCAAATTCCCACCACCCTTTCGCCCACCAAGAGAAAGTGAATGCATGAATTCAGTAGCGGCAAATTGTGATTTGCAAAAATAATCAGATTCTCTCACTAGGAGAATAAAGGTTTCTTCTATTAACACATGCATCTTGGGGGTAGGAAAAAAAGTGCAATATTAAAAAAAAAAACCATAATCCAATAGTTATCATTAGACCACCTCCTGCAGTTCACCTCTGCTTATTCATTTTTAAAAAAATATACCCATCCAAAAGGTATACCACCTCTGCAAACTGTTTCCTAGGCAGCATTTTTTAAACTCAAGACTTAATCAAAGGGATGGGTTAAAACCATTTATAGCTGAATATCCAAGGAGAAATGTGTTTTCAGAAAGGGAGAAGGATGGATAAGAGCTCTGTGTCCATGTACAGACCAGTGGTTACCTATCTGTCTTTGCACGTGGACACGCTCACATCTATACACATACACGCACACACACACTTCAGGTCTTTACAATCACAGTGTTTTTTCTCCCTTAAAAAAAAAAAAATGTTAAAAGCAAACACCAGAAAGGTTAGGCAGAAGAGAACAATGAAAAAATAAAGTTCATGTAAACAGTAAGCACATACCTGCCGGGAGATGCCATTTCTTCTACATTTTAGAGCCCAAGTGCTGGGTATTAGCATTATTGCTACTATTCGGAGAAAAATGGATCGTCTCTTGCTGACCTGAGAACCAGCTAGCTGCCTGAGAAGTGGTTTCCCCCATATATGATTCAGCCTCCTTGACAAATATACTGCATTGTACTGGATGAGTCATCTGAGGGTTAGTCCGCATTTTATAGGCCTGTTGTGTCATTACTTACATTCAACATCCTGCTTCTCAAAAGTGGAAGCTGGAAGCCTGACAGCTGACGGATGCTTTTTCCAATTAAAATATTGTTTCAAAAAAAAAATTCCTGTAAGTTATGGTTATCAGTCATTGATGATACTCTCAAATGCCCAGGAAGCCAATGGCACACAGCTCAATACCCGAGATTACAGGCTGCTGAATTACAAATTCGAATTGTTCACCCACCCCCACCTCCAAACCAAATAATTCTGTTCACAGTTGAGAGCAAAGATGCCCTCTTCTGAGCTCTCAGTTGAATTAATCTAGGCACAGACCTTGTTGATTCTTATGGAGTAAGATTACCTAGTTGCTGAGCTATATAAAAACTACACATCGAAATTTGGGTACCTAGGTATTAGGTGACACTAAGGAATCATTGCCTTGTTAGGTGTTAATAATTTGTTTAATTTTGTTACTTGGGATAGTAGCATTGTGTATCTAAAGTACCTACTTTTTGGAGAGGCATACTGAAGTATGTTAGAGGTGAAATGATACCTGGGATTGATTATAAAATATTTTAGCCAAAGGAAAAAAAGAAATGTGGCAAAATCTCACTAACTGTTGCATCTGTGTGATGCCTATATAGGGGTTTACTGTATCATTCTCTCTTCTTTTGAGCGCCTTTACGATTTTTCATAATAAAATATTAAAAAAAAATTTTTTTTCCCTCTGTCCCTATGGCCTAATTTATACCCAAACAAGGTACTTTTTTAGTTAGGTATGAACCTGCCTAAAAATAGATGGGTGGGGGATACAGAGCTTCCCCACCACACAACTGGGGAGGGGGGATAGGGTCACCATTCACATAGTGCAACAAAGTGGCCCTGTGGGCATGGGGGCTGGACCTGCAGTTGCGTCTGCCTTAAGGTATGATACACATGCCCTCGGGCTATGGTGAGGGTTGTTTATCAACCCCCTGAACAAACGCCTGGGCTCCTTTCTCCTAGACAGTCTGGTGGTTGTTTCCTATGCTTTCTCTGAGAACACAAACCCTGGCCTCATTCATGAGCTCAATGTTGACTTTATGAAGGAGAGGTGACTATTTCCAGCTTCCTTATGTGGCTTTGGAAGCAATCCACGAGAGGTTATGTAAGTCACCATCCAGAGTCCCCTTCCACCAACAAGTCTCTTTGTAAGGTGGCCCAGTGTTTGCTCTACTCACTTAATGCCCCAATAGTTACTTAAACCATCAGAAGAGGGAAGAGGGCTTTGATTTCATGGCCTAAAAAAAAAAATTCAGATAAGGAAGCTCCAATGTATGTTAAGTGAAATCACTGTTTAAACTAGACGCAATTTTAAAAACTGTCCACATTGTTACATTGTGAAAGCGTGACAAGTCACCACAGGAAAGAGAAAACGCAGAGGTCCTACTGAAGCCAAGACCTGCTGTATTGCTCCCTTCAGTTCTGAAACTAAAGGATGGGGGCATGTGTCGGGCTGAGGGTCCCACCTCAGCCAACCCCATTTTCCAAAGGATGATGATCAACATGACTGACAACCAGCTTCAAATGGTTGTGACCATCTCCATACAACATAAACTACAGCCTGACTAATCTAGACTGATTTGGATTGTGTGTGGGTCTGAAATAAAGCCTTCTGGGCTTTGACCAACTCTTTCTTCATAAGGATTGCAAACTACAGGCTTACCAAAACCTTCCCTCACAAGTTGATGATAACCTTTCACACACTTCCAAAAGCATAATTTACCTTAATGTAACAGATGGGGAAATTAATAAACTTCTAAGTCTAATTTGAGTTTCCATAACTATTTTCAAAAAATAAATCCAGAATTCCTTTAAGAATTTCATAATTCAGACCTCACTAATTAAAAACACACACAAAAAAGCAATATTAATGTGTGTATATACACACATACCCCATCTATATACAGAGAGAAAGAAATATGGTCAAATGCTAACAATTAATAACTGGGGAATCTGGATGAACAATATAGAGGCGTCCTTTGTACTATTCTTGCAACGTTTCTGTTAAGTATGAAACATTTCAAGATAAATTTAAACACATACACACATATGAAAGACAACAGATATCACTGCTACTTCAAATAATTTTTATGGATTCAAAGCCCTAGTGGTGCAGTGGTTAAGCGTTTGGCTGCTAACCAAAAGGTCAGCAGTTCGAATCCACCAGCCGCTTCCTTGGGAACCCTATGGGGCAGTTCTGCTCTGCCCTACAGGGTTGCTATGAGTCAGAATTGACTTGATGGCAACGGGTTTTTTATAGTTGCTGTTGGACCCCTGGTGGCACAGTGGTTAAGAGCTCAGCTGTTAACCAAAAGGTGTGCAGTTCAAATCCACCAGCCGATCCTTGGAAACGCTATGGTGCAGTTCTACTTTGTCCTATAGGGTCACTATGAGTTGGAATGCACTAGACGGCAACGGGTTTAGTTTGATTTTTTCTTTTAATAGTTGCTGTTGGAGCCCTAGTGGCGCAGTGGTTAAAGCTCGCGGCTGCTAACCAAAAGGTCAGTGGTTCAAACTCACCAGCCACTCCTAGGGAGAAAGATCTGGCAGGCTGCTTCCATAAAGATTTATGGCATTAGAAACCCTATGAGGCAGTTCTACTCTGTCCTGCTGGGTCAGAATTGACTCGAGAGCAGTGAGTTTTTTGGTACAGTTGCTGATGCTGACACCTCCATCCGTTTAAAAAAAATTTGGACCAGAAAGAAGTTTAACAAAACGGTTAACAGTGAGAAATGTCTCTGGGTCAGGGTTTCCCAGAGGGTGTTCCTTGCAAACGATCTTATAAGAGGCTCCACAAAGAAACCAAACAGACATTTTGGGAAAACAACATATGATATCCCCGAGAATACTGTTTTAGGTTTGCCTGGTCTTGCATTCCCCACATTTATTTGACCATAGAGCGGCCCCCAGCCCCAATAACTATTACTATTTACCATCCTGAGGAGCTTGAAGAAAGCACTTTGGGAAACATTGCTGTCGGTGATGGAATATTTTTTTCTGATCTCTTACTCTAAGTTTTCTTCACAACACGTTTTACTTATTATGACAACAAAAAACATGAAAATTTGGTTTCTGTTGTGATTTCTATCTGGTCAGTCTGCATGCTCTTTGGTCTGCGACTACTCAGAAGACGTCCTGGATTATGCAATTATCCCATGTCTCTGACTCCTAACCACACCTGAGTGGCTGATGCCACCACCATCAGAGGCAGCCAAGGAGCCTGTAAAACAAAACAAAGCAAAACAAAAACCCCCAAACAACAACAACAACAACAAAAAAAGCAGATTCTGACTCATGGAGACTCCACGTGCGTCAGAGTAAAACTGCTCCATAGAGTTTTCAATGGCTGATTTTTCAAAAGCAGATTGCCAGGCCTTTCTTCCATGGCACCGTAGGCAGTAGTAGAGCACAAACTGTTTGCACCCCTCAGAGATCTTTACCTATAAACATAATGGGGTTGGCGGCTTATACCAATGTTGACAGTCCCTGGTAAGAGCCAACTGGCCTTGGGTAGGAGCTTGTTCCAGGCTCAGGTTCACCTGGCTATTTTCAGAGCAAACATGGGAAACCAACCTGGATGTCTTTGGTCTCTGAGCTCACCAGGCCTTTACATACTCATCTCTTAGCATGATCCTTGGATGGTGAGAAGCCAACTAGGCTGGGAAGCACAGCAGAACATGGAGTCCAATTTCAATAAACTTGTAACTTGCAAACAGACTCCTGATTTTAAAATTCTTGCCATGTATTAATTTGTACAAGAGTTTTAGAAATTATCTGTTTGCATGTATGCTTTTTGGCTAAAGTCCAAATACTGGCTAATGTCAAGATCTAAAAGCAAAAACAAACATCAATGATGTACTGTATCAATGAGGTACTACAGGCAGTACTGGGGAGTGGTAAAATGCATGAGCCTGGAGTCAAGCTATCTTGGTTCAGAAATCCAGCCTTGCTCTTGCTTAGCTATTTATCATCTCTAAACCTGTTTCCTTATCTGCAAAATGGGTATAATACTATTAATAACCTCAAAGAGTTGTTTTGAATGAGATATGATCACAAGTACTCAGTGTAGGGCCTGGCCACCTACAAACATTCATTAATTTATGCAAACAACATGGATGAGGATGTTTATAAATCATTCAGGTGGGCAAACTATGGCCCACCACAACACCCATCTGCTTACATACTGTCTATGGCTGTTTTAGAGCTACAAAGGCGGAAGTGCACAGTTGTAACAGAAACTAGAAAAAGTTTGCTGACCCTGTTGATCAGCATCTGGGTGGATAAAGAACCAGGTCTTTCCCTATAGAAGTTTTGACTTTAGTCCCCTTTTCTATTTAATGTCCCAATTCAACACTGGCAAGTTTTAGGATCATGCAAATATGGTCAAATGTTAATAACTGGGGAATCTGGATGAATGGTATAGAAGAGTCATTTGTACTATTCTTGCAACTTTTCTGTAAGTATGAAATATTTCAAAATAAAGTTATGTATACACGCATATATATAAGAAAGAAAATACATACCCCTACTACTTTAAATGATTTTTTTGAATTTAATAACCACCCTAGTGGTGTATTATAATTATAATACAAGTGTTATTTATGGTGATTTGGTCCACACAAGCTGTAGCTCCTCGTTTCTTTACAAGGCAGAACAACAGCCCGGAGTGCTCCATCTCATGGTAGTTGGGAAAATCTACAGAGCCTGAGGTTGCTGTTGGTCTTTCCTCCTCCCCTCCTCCCTGACTTGCCCAAAGAGGACCTCCCTTATTTCACAGTCCAGTGACTCCAGCTGATGTGTGAGAGTCCATGATGGTGCCTCCCCTCCCCCAGGTCACATCTGTGCATTATGTAGAAACCACATGTGTCCCCAGAGCTTGAAGCAAGAGGTGAAAGATGATCTGTAAGAGGCATTCAGGAAACTGAGCAAACAGAAATGAAGGAAGCTTTCAAGAGGGCTGGACAGCCACATGCAGGATTAATAAAGCA